AACGCTGTAAATCTTGAGAGTGGAGTGGAAATGAGATGAGGGGGGACATTTGGTCCGAATGGCTTAGGTTATGATGTTATATCTAATTATTATTTTTTGTGGGACAGAGTTTTGCTCTTGTTGCCCAGGCTGGAGTACAGTGCGTGATCTTGGCTCACTGCGACCTCTGCCTCCCGGGTTCAAGTGATTCTCCTGCCTCAGCCTCCCAAGCAGTTGGGATTACAGGCAGGTGCCACTACGCCTAGCTAATTTTTTTGTTTTTTGTCTAATTAGTAGAGACAGGTTTCACCATGTTGGCCAGGCTGGTCTCAAACTCCTGACCTAGTGATCTGCCTGCCTTGGCCTCCCAAAGTACTGGGATTACAGGCATAAGCCACTGCGCCTGTCTCATGTCTAATTATTCTTACCCCAAATGAAGATCTCTTTTGGAGGTGAGCTCCTTTTTTTTTTTTTTTGAGATGAAGTCTTGCTCTTGTTCCCCCAGGCTGGAGTGCAATGGCGCAATCTCGGCTCACTGCAAGCTCTGCCTCCGGGGTTCAAGTGATTCTCCTGCCTCAGCCTCCTGAGTAGCTGGGATTACAGGCGCGTACCACCACACCTGGCTAATTTTTGTATTTTTAGTAGAGACAGGGTTTCACCATGTTGGCCAGGCTGGTCTTACACTCCTGACCTCAGGTGATCTGCCTGCCTTGGCCTCCCAAAGTGCTAGGATTATAGGCATGAGTCACCACGCCCAGCTGTGAGCTCCTTATTTAAGTACCTATTTGGTATCTTTAAACCATAGTTTCTCTGTAACCTTTTTCTGGATTCTCTAAACTAAGGTTCAAGTGAAAATCTTATTCTTTATTCTCTGTGGTCTTTTCTGGTTTTTTTCTCAGCATGTTTGTTGATAATTTTGTGATGTGACCTGCTCTGTCTACCTGTCCCATTTATCAGACATGATCTTTTTTCCCACGTGCTTTGATTATTGAGGGGTCAAGTGAAGACCCAGAGTCTATCAGCCACATTGGGCTTCTCTCCCCTAGTCACTTCGCTATCCAAGCCCTGTGTCCTCTTCATTCTCCCTTCTAGTCAAGAACCCTATTGAGGCAAGTGTCTTGCTGGCTGAAGCCTCGCTGGCACGGAAGCAGCGGAAAACACATACTACCTTTATTCCACTGATGCTGAATGAGATGCCACAGATTGGGGACCTGGTGGGTCTGGATGCCGAGTTTGTCACCCTTAATGAGGTAACCAAGACCAAAGGGATGGGGCATTGGAAGAGAACTCTGAGGATATTAGGAGTTGTAAGCATTTCTCTGATTTCCTTATTAACTCTTCTCATGTAGGAGGAAGCAGAGTTACGCAGTGATGGTACCAAGTCTACCATTAAACCAAGTCAGATGTCAGTAGCCAGGATTACCTGTGTCCGGGGCCAGGGACCTAATGAGGGTATCCCCTTCATTGATGACTACATCTCTACCCAGGAGCAGGTATTAAGATACAGAGATGCAAGTGAGGCACACCCTGGTGCTTATGTACAGTGCTCAAGAACCCAGGGAAGAGTGATAGGGGAAAACTCCACCTCACTTCCTGAAAAAGACTTGTCCTTTTCTCTATTCCTAGGTGGTGGATTACTTGACTCAATACTCGGGTATAAAGCCTGGTGACCTCGATGCCAAAATTTCCTCCAAGCACCTAACAACTCTCAAGTCTACCTACTTAAAGCTTCGTTTTCTCATTGACATTGGAGTCAAGTTTGTGGGTCATGGCCTGCAGAAGGACTTCCGGGTCATCAACCTGATGGTTTGGCAGGGCTCTTTTAAGAGTCTTCTTGTGGGAGTGGGCCCCTCAGGGTATACATTGTGCCTTCAGAGAATGGGAAATTATAGTCCCCTACCTTAAGTCTCTCCCTCTTTTATCTTTGCCAGGTGCCCAAGGACCAAGTCCTTGATACTGTCTACCTGTTCCACATGCCCCGAAAACGAATGATTTCCCTGCGATTCCTTGCTTGGTACTTTCTGGGTGAGTTGCTCTGCCTTGTAGGCCCCTGTGGTGTACATTAATAGCAGAAGCAGCCATTTAAAAAAAAAGCAATCATGTCCTTTGCAGCAACATGGATGGAGCTGTGGGCCATCATACTAAGTGAACTCACTCAGAAACAGAAAATCAGATACCACATATTCTCACTTATAAGTTGGAACTAAACAATGAGTACATATGGACATAAGGATGGAAATAATAGACACTGGGGACTCTAAAAGTGGGGTTGGTGGGGGATGGGTGAGGGTTGAAAATTACGTATTGGCTGCATAGTTCACTATTTGCATATTAGGGATACCGGAAGCCCAGTCCTCACCAGTACATGATATACCCATGTAGCAAACATGCACATGTACCCCAAATCTAAAATAAAATTTAAACATAAAAAATAAAAGCATGGGGGGAAAAGACAAAGTAGGAAAAGTGTTAGAGGACAAAGTGGGAGTAGGGGTGACCCTCAGTGGTGACAGTTACTAATGGATTTAATTAACTTCAATATCCCTTCTGTGCAATGAAGAAGATGTTTGACAATTTCCCTTAAGGACAGTCAGGCTTTTTAGTTTTCTGGAGTCAGGTAGGAGTGGGGAGACATGTTCCTACCTCCCTTTGCTGGGTCCCAAACTATTCCACCTTTACTTACCCCAGACCTGAAGATTCAAGGGGAAACCCATGACAGTATTGAGGATGCACGCACAGCCCTTCAGCTCTACCGAAAGTATCTGGAGCTAAGCAAAAATGGCACTGAGCCTGAGTCTTTCCACAAGGTGCTCAAGGGTCTTTATGAGAAGGGCCGAAAGATGGACTGGAAGGTGCCTGAGCCTGAGGGCCAAACAAGTCCCAAGAGTAAGACCTGGGATGGGACAAGGGAAACTGGACTGGGTGGATTTTGTATTTTGTTTGTGACAGGGTCTCACTCTTACCCAGGCTGAAGTGCAGTAGCGTGATTACAGCTCACTGCAGCCTCGACTTCCTGGGCTCAAGTGATTCTCCCACCTCAGACTCCCAAGTACCTGGGACAACAGGCACACACCACCACACCCAGCTAATTTTTGTACTTTTTGTAGAAACAGGGTTTTGCCATGTTGCACAGGCTGGTCTTAAACTCCTGGGCTCAAGCGATCCATCCACCTTGGGCTCACAAAATGCTGGGATTACAGGCATGAGCCCAGCGCCCCCAACTGGGTGGATTTTGATTGCACATATGGAGAATAGCACTTCACAGTTTACAAAGCACTTCATCCTCCTAACATTCAGTGAAATACATTTTATCAAAACTCTCCATTAACTATAACTTCCTCTTGCCCAAGTCTAAAATGTTCAAGGAAGGTCCATGCCCTTTTTTCTCTTGCATTTTTCCTTCATAGGAAGTAATGAGAAGATGCTTTTTTCTCTACTCAGCTTGAATCATGCTTTTTGGTTTTGTCTCTGACAGATGCAGCTGTCTTCTCCTCAGTGCTGGCGCTCTGACTACCCTTCCCAAAGAACCACTGCCCTCTCCCTTTACTGTTCTATAGCCCCAGAACTGGGAGATGGCTTCCTTAGTTGGCTATACCTTGTCCACTTCCAGTACTGGAGGTGCTCAGGGTCTAGAGTCTCAGATGGTGCTATTAATAGAACTGGAACACAGCAGAATTGTTGCAAAGGTTCTAGGAGCCAGATTCATTCCTTCTTCATCCTTTGCAAAACAGTGGCACAGAAACGGAGTCTAGAATTGACCCAGATGGAAAGTAATTGGTATTCTTAATATCCTGGTTCACTAATACCCAGGCAGAGAAGCTCCTGGAACCATAATTGTCAGTTCCTAGCTGGCTAGGGATTGAAGTCCTGGACAGCGACAGAGGATACCACAGTAGTTCAAGACTTAGCACAAGTCACCAACTGCTTCAGGGATGCCTGGAGGGGCCAGCAAGTAGAGTGTTGGTGGCCCAAACAAACCAGTGTTGCCAATACTATTGCCAAAAGGGCCTTTGGATCCTGGACAAAGCTTGGCTGCTGGCTTCATTTATTCCTGCTGATGGCTGAGAAGCATCTGTCTTCCATCCCACTCTCCTGTCCCAAGTTTTGTTCCGTTTTTTAAAAATTTGTTGTAAACTGCATGTTTTATAAAATAAAAACAAAATACCGTTTGTCATTTATCTCATTAGGGAACTGCTAGTGTAGGTTCTCTGGCTTCAGTCTTCCTCTCCTTCCTTTGAAGGTAAAGGTGCGGAATCCAAAGTTATGGATATGAAAGGGTATAATTGGGCCAGGCGCAGTGGGTCACTTCTGTAATCCCAGCACTTTGGGAGGCCGAGGTGGGTGGATCAGGAGGTCAGGAGTTCAAGACCAGCGTGACGAAGATGGTGAAACCCACGTCTCTACTAAAACTACAAAAATTAGCCGGGCGTGGTGGATGGCGACTGTAATCCTAGCTGAGGCAGAGAATTGCTCGAATCCGGGAGGCGGAGGGTGCAGTGCGCCAAGATCACGCCACTGTACGCCAGCCTCGGCGATAGGGCGAGACTCCGTCTCAACAAAAGGAAAAAAAAGGTATAATTATGCCTTTTCTGGGCAATGCTGGGTCTTTGCTGTAGCTGCCCAGTACCCTACGTGAGACTGAAGATGTACAGTACGGTTTCCCCGTTAATTGTGTACGCCGACAAACTACAGGTCCCAGGATAGCTTGAGACCTGTAGTTGCTCACAAAGATGGGTCTGGCGCTGTGGTGCTTCCTGGGAGATGTAGTTTCCTGTGTATTGAAACCTGGGCTGTTCGCTGGCCTGCAGAGCACCGTTTTGAAGGTCCTAGCCCACCTGAGTTGGCTCACGCGCACGACTAGCCGCTCCTATACAGTACACCCGGCCTCTGTCGTCTCTTAAGGCCACTCCTATTCTACGGCTGACCCCTGGAGGTCACGTGGAGCTGTCGCCACGCAAGTCTGGGTCCTTCAGCGATTGACCGGGGTCCTCGCTATCCAGGAGCCTCTCCCAAGCTGCCTGTTCACGCGAGAGTTTGGAGGGGCGGGTTTGGGGTCGGTGTCTGATTGGGGCTCGCACCGCAGCACGCTCGAGCCCCGCTTAGGTACCAGTTAGCGCCACGGGAGCTGGGTCAGGCGGTCGCCGGGACACCCCGTGTGTGGCAAGCGGCGAAGCGCTCTGGAGGATTCCGGACAGCCCTGCTCCCCGCAGCCAGGTGTAGTTTCGGGAGCCACTGGGGCCAAAGTGAGAGTCCAGCGGTCTTCCAGCGCTTGGGCCACGGCAGCGGCCCTGGGAGCAGAGGTGGGACGGATGCGAGCGGCGAGGCGCTGGGCGCTGAGGGTTGGGGATGGACTGGAGCGAAAGCAATGGCGGAGTCCTTAGAAAGGGGGCTGAGGTCCGTACGGATAATCAACTTACGGGCTGGAGATGGGGACGCAGGAATCTTCGGTGCGGGATCCAAATGGGCCCTAATTATTGAATGCTGGCCTCCTGGCCTGACTGAGGGCTCCCTGCTGGCAGTTCCCTAGTGCCTGTAGTCCTCGCGTAATCGCCAACTTACCTCCTGTAGCTGCCACAAAGCCCCGTGAACTCTAGGCATGCAGTGCTAAAGTACCAACACCTAGGGCCTCACCTTTCCACGTAGAGTCTGGGACTGAGCCCCAAGTCCTGAGCTTGCGCTCCCACCTACCGCCCTGGGGGAATCAGAGCCCTCAAGCGCTGGAACAGAGAAGCCCCTTTGTGTCCCGGCCACTTCCTGGAAAGTAGAGCCAGAGTCACAGTGAAGCCTTTGAAAGCCTTGGGGTGAGGAGTGGGGGGGTCAGGGAAAAATGGAATCGGCTTCTCACACTTGTTTTATTCCCACACAAACCCAGGTGGAGCGACCCCATTACGCTAAAGATGAAAGGCTGGGGTTGGCTGGCCCTGCTTCTGGGGGCCCTGCTGGGAACCGCCTGGGCTCGGAGGAGCCAGGATCTCCACTGTGGAGGTAAAGGCACAACAGGAAAAAGAAGTGGAGGAAGCAGAGCCTTGGGAGGGCATGAGATCCAAGGCCTGGGAGAAGGAGGAATGGAAATCCTGGGTTGATCCCATTCTCCTCACACCCTACCCCCACCCTCTCCCCTGCTCCCATTCTCTCCTCTTCCACCAGCGTGCAGGGCTCTGGTGGATGAACTAGAATGGGAAATTGCCCAGGTGGACCCCAAGAAGACTATTCAGATGGGATCTTTCCGGATCAATCCAGATGGCAGCCAGTCAGTGGTGGAGGTAACTGTTACTGTTCCCCCAAACAAAGTAGCTCACTCTGGCTTTGGATGACAATTCGACTGCTTAAAAAGGACCTTAGTTTAATAGAAATGAAGAAAATAGACTCAGAGAGATATCTAAAAGATTTGGCTCTGTCTCATTTGGAAGAGGCTGCAGGCTTATTCCCCATGCACTTGCTTCCTGGCTCCAAACCTTAATACTTTGTTTCTGCTGTAGAATTTGTTAGCAAACAGGGAGTCCTGATCAGCCCCCTTTTCCACATCCACATGACTTGTTTTTACTGTAGCACTGTGGTATACATACAAACGTCCATTCAAAATCTGAATCAGAGCTAAAAATAAAAAATGAAAAATAAGAATAAAAGGTTTTATCATAATTAGGAAATTTTAGTCGAAAACAACACACATGTACACAAAGGTGTATCTAATAAGTAATATATAAGGCAATGTTAAGATTATGGTGCTAGCCTGGGCATCATGGCAAAACACCATCTCTACAAAGAAATGCAAAAGTTAGCAGTGCATGGTGGCATGTGCCTGTAGTGACCGCTACTTGGAAGGCTGAGGTGGGAGGATCACTTGAGCCTAGAGGATCACTTAAGCTTAAGAGGTCAAGGCTGTAGTAAGCCGTGATCGTGCCATTGCACTCCAACCTGGGAAACACAGCAAAACCCTGTCTCAAAAAAAAAACAAAACCCAGCACTTTGGGAGACTGAGCCAGGCAGATCACCTGAGGTTAGAAGTTTGAGACCAGCCTGGCCAACATGGTGAAACTTCATCTCTACTAAAAATACAAAAAATTAGCCAGGCGCGGTGGCACATGCCTATAGTCCCAGCTACTCGGGAGGCTGAGGCAGGAGAATCAATTGAACCCAGGAGGCGGAGGTTGCAGTGAGCCAGGAACACCCCTCTGCACTCCATTCTGGTTGACAAGAGCAAAACTCTGTCTTGGGAAAAAAAAAAGATTATGGTACCTTAATAGCTGTTGTCCACAGAGCCTACACTACCTCTTTAATACTGTGCTTACTGAGGATATTAGTCTCAATTTTAAAAAATTATTATTATTATTATTTTTGAGTCAGAGTTTCGCTCTTGTTGCCCAGGATAGAGTGCAATGACACGATCTTGGCTCACTGCAACCTCTGCTTCCCGGATTCAAGCGTTTCTCCTGCCTCAGCCTCCCAAGTAGCTGGGATTACAGGCACGCACCACCATGCCTGGCTAATTTTGTACTTTTAGTAGAGACAGGGTTTTTCCATGTTGGTCAGGATGGTCTCAAACTCCTGACCTCAGGTGATCCACCCTCCTGGGCCTCCCAAAGTGCTGGGATTACAGGCGTGAGCCACCGTGCCTGGCCAAAAATATATATATATTAATGAGAACACATGGACACAGGGAGGGGAACATCACACATCAGGTCCTGTTGGGGTGTGGGGGGCTAGGGGAGGGATAGCATTAGGAGAAATACCTAATGTAGATGACAGGTTGATAGGTGCAGCAAACCACCATGGCACATGTATACCTAGGTAACAAACCTGCACGTTCTGCACATGTATCCCAGAACTTAAAGTA